GATAAAGAATTGGTCAGTATAAGTAGTACTCTACAACATAACAACTACCCTGGGTACATGGCAGCAGCCCCCAAAAACTGGGATAGGCGGGTACAAGAGAAGGACAACAACACTCAGAAAACAGCCTGCCTGCTTTATGTGAAGAGGTTATCGAAGAAAATACAAAGGATCTGCAGTCCATATAACATCAGGACAACCTTCAATAGCTGGACGACACTTTGCAGATATCTCTCCCGAGTAAGATCCCCTGCAGAGGAGAACATGACTAAAGACTGTGTACACACTATCTCATGCAGCTGCAGAAAGAAATATAAAGGGGAGACAGGCTGCCCCCTTAAGGTAAGGCTTCAAGAACACCAGAAAGCTGTAACATGAGGGGAAGTGGAAAAATCAGGTGTGGATGATCACATATGGAGAGAGAAGGGAGATCACCACCCTCTGTGGGATCAGGTTGAGATCATAGACAAAGAACACCATTGGAAAATTTGTAAACTTAAGGAATCAGTACATATGCTAGGTCATAAAAATCTCCTGAGCCGACCAAGCATAGAAATGAATACAATATGGGAACCAGTAATAAGGAGTGACAGAGAAAAGCAATAACAAAAAATTGCAATATGAGCTCTGGTAAAAAAACGTGAAATGATAACAGCAAAAAAAATTGCAATATGAGCACTGGTAAAAATGGTTGCTGAAGACATGAGGTTTATAATACCCAGATATTCATACACAGATGTCCTCAAGGACACAAGGCACAGTGGATAAAGGCGTTAGTTAGATCCAGTGACAGGACCCAAAGAGTGTGAGTTCATTACCCAGTTAAGGCAGTGGAGAACTTGGAGAGGGGAATTAACAGGAGATAACTGACATCCATTAAACATGGCACGTGGAACTAGAACAGTCTACTCCAGTGAGCGAAATAAAGGGTTCAGTTCAACGTTCCAACCTTCAACCACCTGAAGAAAGCCGGAGCATACAACGGCCGAAACATTGTAATAAATATGGCAAAAAGATGAGGACAATAGTCTGAATAATGTAAATAGTGTACATAATACCTCATCTCAAAAATATAGACAGATACTGAATGGAAGCCTTATTAATAAAAAAAAACAAAAAACACTCAATAACATCAACTATGAACATGTGCACATTATCTTGACCATGTTTTGAAAAATGAAAACATATAAATACATATATGCAACAAACTAAAAAATTCCTTACATGATTCAAATTCATGGATGTTTTATTTCCAAAAATGTCTTCTTCCCTTGTTAAAGATTGTAAAAATAATTGCTATTTATGTAATTTATCTGTTCATTACTTATTTGGGTTCGAATCAAAGATCTATTGATTTTTTTTTTTTTTTTTTTCACTTTTTGTTTAGCTAATTAAGTCAATTTGTCATACAAGAAAGACTAAATGCTTGTTGTAATGGCTTGCAAGTTAATCTTTTAGTCAGTTGGTAGTGTAATGAGTTCAAGCATCATTGAGTGCTCCACAATACTCACATTGTGCCAGATTAAGCTAAGCTTACTAAATACCATAAGTCATCAGATTGCTTACAAATTAAGCATAATTATTTCTTTTTGCCAATGCTTTATTACATTCTCCAATCTTGCAAAATATCTTAAATCAAATAATGTTTATTCTATATTTAAGATGATTCAGGAATTAATATAAAAATTGCTTTGAATTACAAACTAAGAACATTAATTATTTTTTACATGTACTTTCTTAATGTTCTCTAAATGGAAGAATTCATAGACTAATTTTAAATTGCTAATCTGTTTTTCTAACCTATTATTGGTCATTATAAATTTAAGTGTTGTAATTCTTTCAAGTCAGATTACTAATGTTGCTATTTTTTAATTATTTTTTTTTAAAATGGTGCTTACATTTATAAATTACTTCAAATGTCACTGTGTTTTTAATTTTGTCATTTCTCACTTAATTATTGCTTCATTAATGAAGCAATAATTAAATGAGAAATGGCAAAATTAAAAACGCATAAAAAAGTCTGTGGGGTGATCAACTAGATTCTGTGCAATGACATTTTTTCAAGTTCATTAAATGCTGTAGCATTTTTTATCTTTCAAGTTGACTACCAAAACCTGAAGTATTTCCCTACCATCATGAAATCTATCTTATCTTTAAAGTTATATACTTATGAAATATTTCATGTAATTCTTCTTTGATATATGAAAGTACTTAAGTATTACTTCAGATAAATATTGATATGCTCATTTTCGAGTTGACAATATTTGTAATCTTGAGTTTTTTTGTTTTTTGTTTTTTTTCAAAAAGAGTTGTCTTTGAGTTTAAGGTTCAAAATTAAAATCTTATTTTGTTAGTTATTCTTTTGTATTTTCTGTAGTTTTTAAAGTATTTTTAAAGTATTATTTGTGTTAACAAAATGTACAAAAAATACTTTAAAAACTATAGAAAATTTATAAGAATGACTAACAATGAGATTAATAAAACAAAAATTTAATTTTTATTTCAAGAGCTTGATTTTTTTTTTATTTTACATTAAAGAAAACAATTACTGTGTTTGTTGGGCAAGGTGAACTTAACTGAATCTGTTATTCCTATACTAATGAGATATTTCAAATCTTGTAAATAAAATTTGAATAAATTGGTATGGTTTGTAACAATTCATAAAATGAACCAAATCTGCAAATGTAGGAAGCATGAATTCAGTGTTCTCAATTCATTGTTCATCATTTCACTTTTTGTTTTGAATTGAAAAATTTGAAATGGTATAAGAATAATTTGTGCTGTTAAAATCTTTAAATATATATTTGTAAATTAATGGTTTATTTGATGAAAACGGTCAATATGCTTGAAATTAACTGGTTCACTCATTATAGGTTCAATTTTAAGGACTAATTTCTTGAAAGTAATTATGTTCACTGAAATCTTTTCAAATTAGTATTTTTACATAGTTGATTTGTTTTTATTAATCATTTTTCTTTTTACCATAGGTAAATATTTGAGAAATTAACAATATCCTGTATGATTATGAAATTTTTTTATTTTTTATATTTTTTAGGCAACATAACATTTTTATGCATCTTTATCATTTTGTTCTGTTAAATATTTCTGCCTTGTCCAATCAAAGAAATTATCTGTACCTATAATTCTGTCTAATCATACTTATTATAAAACCCAAGTTGTGTGCGTGTGTGTCTGTTCGTTTATATATTGGATCGGATTTCCTACATTTTTCAACCGATTTCAACAAAACTTCACAGGACTACGTAAAATTACCTTCCGGTGGTTCTGACAGCACCAAAAATTGAAAAAACACAATTGTTTTTGCACAAAATCAATTTGAAAACACAATTAAAAGGCATCGCTGTCGCGAGAATGAAAGGGGGACAACTCGTATCGAGTTATACTTATTATTATAAAACCCAGGTTGTGTGTGTGTTTTTTCAACCGATTTCAACAAAACTTCACTTTTTTTTTTTTTTTTTTGGCAGGTAGTGTTTCTTATTTTCTTGCACACTTTTTTCTTTATTTTTACATTCAGAATGCTATAAAAATTCCATTTACAAGGCAATTGCTTATAATAAAATTCTATTCAATCGGTAGATTCATAACGATTGAAAACAATGTTTTTGTTTGGGTTTGACCAATTCATAAAAAAAAAAAAAAAAACTAATTAAGACATGTGTGTTTGTCAACATTAAACAATAATCTTTGTCAATTTTATTTTTCAGTCTTTATGATGGTCGATACTTGATCTATCTCTTACTGTTACATCCCCGGGCAATGCCGGGCTCTACTGCTAGTTTATTATAATATGCCCTTTTATTGTAAAGGCACCAATTAAAATGTACGGCCTTTGTTACTTTGATTTTAAGTTCAATTTTTCTTTTGGATTTAATGACTTTAGACCTTGTCTTTTAGCACAGCACTCTATCCCCAAACAGATATTTATAGATTTGTTATGAATCAAATTAATAACTGAAAAGAGAAGCTTTTTCCTTAGTTAAAACATTCTATTACTAATCTGTAATTTTAGATAGAATCTCAGAGCATTCAGTCACTAGCCAGTAAGTTATCCTTGTAAGTGCATCTTGTTATCTTGCATTAAAAAATTTGTCTGACCACAAGAAGAAATTTTTTTCTTCAGGTTTTGAATTAGATGAATGATGAATTCTTGACATTAAAAGTTCGTAGTTTTCAAGCAAATTTACAATATATTTTTCCAAATATATTCTGGAATTTCCTAATTTACTATTCAGTGAGAAATATTTTATACCTTCTTGAACTCATTTTTTTCAGTTTTTTTGTTTATTTTTATCAATTTTTCTGATATTTTGGTTAGAAAATATGAAATTGAAAGAAAATGTTTTTTCCATAAAACTGTTTTCTTTTTTAACAATGTCATCAATTATTTTGCTTTTAACTTCTGAATTTCTTTAAAATATTCCATTAGTATTCAATAGGGACTTTTGAATCCTTTTTATATATAAAAATTTGAAACTGATCAGCAAAATGGTTTCAGATTTAAGTGATCAATTGATATTATTTAAAAATAACATGAGAGACCTATATATTATACAAGAGAAATATTTGGAAGATTAAATATGCATTGATGTTTTTTCTAGTTAGAATTAAAATAAACAATATTTTTCAAGAAAAAGATGTTGGTACAATTTTTTATTTGTACTCTGGAGATATATAAATGCATATGCCCATCTTATAGAAAATTTAATGACTGATTCGTCTTATCAGTAGAAGCAATTGTCAAATATAAAGCAAATTATATGGACCATAATTGGTATTGTTAACCATTGTCATAATGAAAATTGTAACTTTAAAAAGGCTATTATAATACAAACCTTGAAATGAAAGTTTAAATGTCAAAATACCTCATTACTAATTTAATTACTATGTACAGATAAATTGCTCTTCATTAAATTCTTAATATTGTGCATATAAATATATGATTTAGTTAAAATAACATAATTTACATTTATCTTTTTCAGAAATGGCAAATGTTATACAAGCTCTTATGCAAAAGATAGACTATACGGAGGATTCTTTGACAGGTAAGTGCTTCTAACTTTTTATTTTTTTTTTTTTAGATTTTTTTTATTTCATCTCTTCTATTTCTAAAACCAACAATACAGTATATCAATTAAAATTTTAGAACCTATAAAAACTTATTAAACAGGTTATCATTTACATGTATGAAAAAACATGCTAGTTGCATGCAGGTACTAATAACCACCAGGCCACTTGTCCAGCCAATTTTTTTTTACAAATGAAGCATGTATTTTTTTTTCTAGTATTGTTATTTTTATGGCATCTAGGATTTCTCTGAAGAAAATTACTATTCACTTTTAAGAATATTGATTTGCTTATTTTATAATCAAAGTTAAAATATGAATTTAAATAAATCTAACAATTCTATTCTTGTATGACTATAAGTGTGGAACACTTCTTCAGAAAAGTTGTAAATTTTCTAACTGGTTATTTCCATGATAAATGAGATCCTAATTTTATACACATTTATTTCAGTTATTCATCCATATGGCTTAATATTCTGTTTACATAAGATCTGAATTATTTTTTTTTAACTTCTGGAAAGTCAAAAAAAATTGATATTCACTTTCATATTTTTGGTGATAAAACTATATTAAATATTTCTGGCATGTTTATAAATATACGTGACAAAAAAAAGATTCTTTTCATAAAACTTTTAGCTTATCACAGCAATCCATTTGGCTCTGGTTTGAAAGAAGATACTTACTATGTTCTTTATTTACAAAGATTGAACATTGACTTACTGTTGTACTAATCTACTTTGAATGAAGAGGATTATTTAGATGAGGGTGGAATTATATAAAAGGCAATATCTCAATACCATCATGAGTGACATCCATGGGGTGATGGTGTTGGATTTACTAGATACATGGATCAATAGATTGATGGATTGATAGATAATGAATAGATAAACACAATATGTTAGATTAGTACATAAGTTGGCAAGTAAATAGAATAAAGTGATAGATAAATGGTGGTCTGATAGATATGCCAAGAGAAAGAATGACTGATAAAGATTTGTTCCATCATGATAGGTGGATGGATCATTAAAATATGTACCTAAATGGACAAATGAATTTATGTATAGTTAGGTAAATAGACTGAAAATAGTTGTGTAAATAGAAAGACATGCATAAAAATTATATGGTCAATCAATAGGATAATAAATCCCATTAATGAATGGGTATAAACAAAAACATTTTATATAAACAATGTAATAAAGCCACTTAAAGCTAAAATACAGGTTGGTTATTATCTCAGCCACATTTGAAGCTGTCATAACTTTTGTCATAAGCAATCATAAAAATAGCAAACCTTATTCTTATTTACTCCAGTATTTTGTAACATGTTACTTGATAATAATGGTAGAAAAAGGTCTATAAGTGTGTGTGCATGTGTCTCCACTAATATACTAAACTAGTTTCTCAAAATACATCCTCAATTAAAGCAGATAAAAATATAAATAGTATTAAATTCTTTCAGCAGAATTCTGGGCAAAATGATAAAAACCAAACGTCTGTATTTTAATAATTTTATACTTTATAAAATAATGATTATTATATAAATTAAAATAAAATGTTCTTGAAGGACATATTTTATAAATATGTATATTGGGTGAGGTGGGTGTAAATATATTTATCACTGGAATAAAAAGTACACTGCTTTATCTGAGTAAATCTTGTTGAATGGAGATTTGTATCATTTTTAAACTCATTAAAGGATAATGTTTATCACTTCATGAATTATAGTGATCTTGTAGCTATCACACAAAAAACAGCTATTAAAGGAGGATTTTACTTGTTGGCACTCCTGCTAATAGGGAACAAAGCTTGAAAGGGGATGTTTTTCATATTGTCTGAAAAATTTCCTAAGTAGTCCTTTTACATAGTCAATACTAAAATGTCAGTTCCTAACCATGTCTGGTTATGATACTATAACCATTTGAAATAGGCGACTGATCTAAATTTGAGGATTTTACTTAATTTACAATCATATTTAAATTGTACTATTTCAAGATTGTGACTTTTTCAACGCAAATGTTTATTATACTACAAAAATTCAGACATTGAAAATATTTAAATCTGAAATTATTAATCATTGAATACTGGCCTCAAATCTGCCATGTTTGATTCCCCAGGAATCCAATGTAGGACCTTGTCTCCCCTCTCCTCAGACAAATGCACTATTAAAGGATCTGACATTAGATTTTTCACTCATTTATGCATAAAGTTACTGTGTATTTGGTGTTTTTATGTAACTATACCCTTGTATATTAGGGTTAGTTTATTATAAGCAATAAACTCATTTAGAGGTAAATGACTTTGTGTTACGAGTTTAAACCATTTTTATCTGTAAATCATTACACATTAGATTTCCAGGGTGTCAAACATGACTAATTTGTGCCTTAGGCTACTATTAAAAGCACAATAATTCCAGATCTAAATATTTTCAATGTCTAAATTTTGGTACTTTAATAGACATTTGTGTTTGCTATCAGAACATAATGGCTGTTACAGGGCACCAAAATCCTAAAAAAAAATTAAAAAAAATAAAATAATAAAGAATCTTGCATTTCAAAATTTTTTTCTCATTAAGACTCCCTATAAAAAATGTGACTTCTAGAGTCTTTCATTCTTATTTATTTGTAATGTATTCCTGAAGGTGGTTGCATGTACAAAGTTTCAATGGTTAAAATGTCTCAATTTGGAGATATTAGTTTAAATATAGTTCTTAATTTAGCAAAATCCTCAAATTCAGCTCAGCCCCTACTTTGAAAGCCCATAAAATCAGAACCATATATAGTTGAAATTATCAGGATTGACTAGGTAAAAGGACTATTTCACTTAGGAAAATTTTCAGGCAATTTTCAAGCTTCAATACCCCTTATACAAATCTGTTTCCATTTTTATTTTGATATTCTTAGTTTTAAAAAATTATGAAACCTATTTCAAACCCAGTAGTGCAGCCATTATTTGACAATATATATAATGCAAAGTTTCTGAACTATTTTTGTCCATGTGTCTCCCAACCATGTTTCAAAATGTCATTCCTAACTTAAGATTTTTTGACTTGAAAGGTGTATTTTCAAATGTTTGTTGGTAAGAAAGAAAAAATATTTCAGTAATTTCATCTTGCCAATCTGTAGTTCTAAATCCCACATGAAATCTACCAAGTAGAAGAATTCCTTTTTTTTTTTTTTTTTGGAAATGTTTCATCTCAAGCAGTGCCACTAGGACACAGGAGGTTACCAGACACGAAAGAGAATAAGACTTTAGTGAGATGTTAGGAAAGGGCAATAAAGTAACAGGGTTCAGGAAGATGGTGATTAGCATTGCATTTAAATTTTTGAAGATTGTAGGTGACAAGAAGCAAGAAATTGGGATTTCCACAGGTGACAAGTGCAAGAAAAGAAACTATTAGAATAGAAGTGGTGTTTGCATCTAGCTAGTTCAACAATAAAATGGTGAGCCCTAGTTGCCAATCTAGTAGCATGCTTAAATTCATGTAGTTGATGCACTGGGGTGGGGTGGAATCTCATCAGAAAAGTTGCCATGAAAATATTTGTAAAAAAAAAAAAAACCCAAAAAAAACAGAATGGTGCCATCAGTGAAAAGTGACTGAAGTCGTGATGCCAGGACATTACAGACCCTTTTTGGAATTTTGTCAAGAATCTCGAGATATATAGCAGGAGTACCAGACCAGCTATGGCAGTAATATTCAATGCATGGATGAATGGTAGATTTATAAATGTGCAAAATAGAATCTGCTGAGAAAATTATCTAGCAGTACACATAGCAATTGATTCAATATGATCACTTTACTTCATGTCAGTGGAAAATATGAACGCAAGTAAGGTGTAATGTGTTGCTCTCCTGGAGTCTGTATGCAAAAAAGGTTCTCTATGATGATTAAATGAAAGTATTGAAAAAGGATTTCAAATCGGTGGTTAACTGGCATAAGAAATGGCCTGTAAATTTTAATGCTTCCTGTTTTGGAAGCATTAAAATTTACAGGCCATTTCTTAGGTCAGTTAACCCCTGATTTGAAATCCTTTTTGAGAGCAGTTACCAATTTTATTTTGTCTGGTCTGTCATAAATAGTTGTATCATCTGTATAAATACCTAGTTGGAAAGTGATGAAGATCAGAAACAGTGTAGATTTAAGGACAGAGCCTTGATGCATCTCTGCATTAGTATGAAATGATCTGGAAACATATCTGTTTGACACTACCTTCATTACATGATAGGAAAAGAGTCTGTCTACATGATAGGAAAAGTTGGATTAAGCCAAATATTTATCCCTTGACACTATCTGTGTAATAATTGCTTATATACATAAGGAAAAATCTGTTGTCACTCACTTTCAGAATAAAATAGTTTGATTGTTCTCTTTACTAAACCCTAATAATTCAAACTTTTATAAAAACAATTTTTTAAAACCTGTTGAAGGTTTAAGAACCAAGGACTGATTTCACTTGATAATGCAATTAAAACAGACTTCCATTCAAACAATCTTAAACTAAAAATCTTTTGAATATGAGAGAACACATAAGTTGCATAGATAATACATATGTGCACTGATGTATTATTCAGTTGATTCTCTTGTGACTCAAATATTAGATTCCAAATTTGTTTAAATTATTTTGGTTAAAGATTTTTTATGTGACAATAAGAAAAATAGGAAAATGAACACTATTTAAAATGTTATCTGTTTAATTACAATATTTTCTAACAATGTAATTTTTTTTTTAAATTTACAATATCCATTTGTTTAAGACTGTTTTATTTCTTACAGAAAATGATTTCAATTGAATGCTTAAAAGAAATTTAAATATTTCAGGTCAAGCGTAAATATTCTAAGACAGCCATGAATAAATCCAAGTGAATCCAAAAGTTTTGAACAATATTTTATAATAATCAGATATTTAATCCTACTGAAAAGTCTTCTGTTTCTTTTCTAGCAAGTTATAAAATTACAAAACCAGTATTTATTAGAACCTGAC